ACACACAAACAATACAACCATTTGCTCGTGCACCCTCTCATCCTCACACTACTCTTAGTGACTAAAACCAAGATACAAATAGGTTGGAAAATTCTTAATTTCCAAATCTATACAATGCTTAACCTTATGCCGCACACATTGCTTTAGACAACACTAATCATGTAAATCAATAACTATTAAATTTTCAGGTATGGATTAAAATTTGAATGCCAATAAAATTTACTTCCCTAAGAGTAAACAACAATGTTTTACCCAAAGGCAGCAACAGCGCTTCGGTTCTGAGCATTTTTCAGAAAAGTCACTAGCTGGAGTTTAACGTAGTAAAAATAAGATTTTTAAAAAGCCAATGTGCTGTTCATAAAGTTTTTCAACATAAAATAAAAGAGTTATCATTATGAACACTACACATTGTGCTTTGCTGTAAATGGTGTACTTCCCCAAAAAGTTACTGTACCGGTTCATAAGATTTGAACTCCACATGCGGTCCAAAACATTGAAATTAGTCACTCATTAAATCACAATAGTACATTAAAATTAAGACATATATATTGTATACACAAGCAAGAGATACAAAAAAAGATTACCAACAAATACAGGACAGGTAAACCCAGTTATGGACCATCTCTAAGGAGGGGAAGGATAAATGTCTCTACCTAGACAGAAAGAAAAGAAGGTTTTAAATTTCATTTGACTGATTTCAACAAACTGGAAGAGAAAAGAAAAAAGAATGTGAAGGGGGTACTTACAAAAGAATTACTGTGAAACAGATACAGGAATATTTTCTGGTTCTTGGGCAACACCTTTGGCTGGTGCAGCCTCTTCACTTTTCTCACTGCTCTCAGTTCCATCAGTTTTTTCAGCAATTAAGTTCTCATTTACTGACTTCTCAATTGGTGTTTTTTCGCCATCCACCTTAGAATCAACATTATTAACTTCACTTGAATCGTTGGTCTTCTCTGCTGACACATCATCCTTTTCATCAGCTTCAGGGGCAATTTCTTTCTCTGAGTTGTTGACTACTGTCTTTAACTAAACAAAGAAAAAACAAAGAAATTTTATTATTAGATAAATAAGAGCAGAAAATAAATAAATAACAGAAGACAATCAGTAAACCAACAAACCTCTTCCTCTTTGTCAGGTTTGGATACATCTTCCTTGACCTCTTCATCCTTCGCATCATCTACATCCATCTTTTCCTCCTCTGCCTTTTTCTCGTCTGCTTTGTCAAATTTAGATGAGTTTTCCTCTTCATGATTATCATCACCGTTTTCTTCAGATTTCTTAGGTGTCTTTGCCTTCTTTTCACCTTCTTCCAACTCCTCCTCTTCCTCCTCTTCTTCCTTTGCTATTTTTCGTTGTCTCCCTCTTTTACCACCTGCGATATTTAATTTCAGATAAAATAAACAATGTCAAAAATAAATAGGAGTCACAAATTTAGGAAAACAGAAAAGACACTTGCCTCTACCTCCGCCACCACTGGCGCCAGCACTCTTTCTTTCCCTCTTGGGGGGAGGAGATGGTGTCACAGGTGTTGTGGCACCTCGGACTGAGGAACGGGTCATTCTACGTCCTTCCACTTCAATTCCAGAAAGCCCTCTGTTAAAACTTTTAGCCTCTTCTTGAACCTTAGCTATATTGGACTTCTTCCCTCGAGAGGGGCGGCCTCGCTTTGGTTTCTTATTCATTTCTTCAACCTTTGGATCAGCTACAGGGGCTACAGGATCTTCCTACAACATATAGACAAAAAACATTAGCAATATTCCCTACAAATAAAACCATGAACAAAATTTGTCAGCATTGTAGAATTGAATATTTCCATTTAGGATATGCAGTTGATACAATATGAGTTATTTACGAAAATTGATAAAAACTCATCAAAATAAAAAATTTAGAGTAGGGGGTACTATGTAACAAATCAGGGCCTGGAAACGCAATGGTCGAGTCCCGGCCGAGGCGCGATACCAGCGAAAACAGCGTGTTTGGGGGAAGCTTATGTGAAAAACTGGCCTGCCGGCGGGCACCATCCCCCTTCACCCCTTTACCCCCCTTTCCCTTTTGCTTCTTAGAACGTAACTTCGGACCTAATAGGCCTATCACTGTAAGAAAAACCTACGGTTTAACAACCAATTGAAAACCGTTCTTGGAAACCGTACCTGGTACGGTGAATGGACCGTATGAATTGGGCTTTTGTATGCACTGGAAATCCAAATAACATTCACTT